AGATTTATTACAAGATCCACGTACATCAAAGATTTAAAATAACCAGCACTGAATTGGTTTCAAACCAAAAACATGGCTGCCGTCCCTCGAGCGTGGTGACGTAACACGCCGAGGCTCCACCCCATGTTATTAATTACTTTTTCAACCTGCACCACTGTACTTTTCTGTAACGTGCAATATGACAACCTGAAGGTATTCTGTACACAGTTGGTATTCAGAGCCTCCCCAAAATGTAATTTCCTGCTTGTGTGATTTGGCTCAGTGATCTTCCAAAAGACTGCACTAAAATACAAATCAGTTTTTAGGCATCCTCTGCAACAAAAATGTTTTTTTTTTTTGTTTTTTTTGTGAGATACTCCCAAAGGATTAATCGCTTTCCAAAGAAAGCTGACACAGCTAAGTTCCTCCTTAGAACAGGCAAGTACATCAGCTGATTGATCCACTTTTGTGTCTTTTGGATACAAATTCTGTAAAGGAATGACTTTTTCATTATCAAACAGCTTTTTCTACAGATCAGAAACAGATTGCAAGTATGCTAAAAAAAAAAAATTGTTGCAGATTCTGATGTACATTGACCACTCAGAGGGGATGTTTTCTTCACAACAACAGTGGAGTTACTCTATAAAGGGCATAAACAGACCAGGTTTATGTAGCAGACACTTAGTAAACCCTGGATCAATGTTGGCTGTCTAGAAGTGACCTTACTTCAGTCACCTGCAGCCTAATTGTCCATTTTTTTTTTTTTTTTTTTACTGGTATGGTGTCAAGCTGCATGACTAGTATAGAATGCACTGCAACACTTTGCTAAATGGCCTCCACTCCTCCACTCCTCTATGCAGGTAATCTGCCCCTTTCTAAGATCCACTGTACTCCATCAAATTACTCAGAGGAACGCATAGTGAAAGCGTACCATGGTATGGTTTACACGGAGTTCCTCTGAGTAATTTGATTGGGTACAGTGGTTCTTAGAAAGGGGCAGATTACCTGCATAGAGGAGTGGAGGCCATGTGGCAAATGTTGCAGTGCATTGTGTGCTGGGAGGCGCATATTGACTTGTGTATGCAAGCGGTTACACGTCATCTGGTTAGTGCGATGTGTGGTGGAGAGTCATGCAAGTGCACGGGGTGATTTTTTTTTTTATTGAAGGCGGACCTACAAGGAATTGTGTTTTATATAATTCATGAACTTTCTTTTTATTGGAAGAGCACATTTTTAGTTTATTTTGGACATTTTTTAGTTGGATTATTTTGCCATTGTTTTGGATTATGCATGCTTATACAGTGGGGATCGAAAGTTTGGGCACCCCAGCTAAAAATTTGTATTAATGTGCATAAAGAAGCCAAGGAAAGATGGAAAAATCTCCAAAAGGCATCAAATTACAGATTAGACATTCTTATAATATGTCAACAAATGTTAGATTTTATTTCCATCATTTACACTTTCAAAATAACAGAAAACAAAAAAATGGCGTCTGCAAAAGTTTGGGCACCCTGCAGAGTTAATATCTTGTACTGCCCCCTTTGGCAAGTATCACAGCTTCTAAACGCTTTTTGTAGCCAGCCAAGAGTCTTTCAATTCTTGTTTGAGGTATCTTTGCCCATTCTTCCTTACAAAAGTCTTCCAGTTCTTTGAGATTTCTGGGCTGTCTGTCACGCACTGCTCTTTTAAGGTCTATCCATAGATTTTCAATTCTGTTGAGGTCAGGAGATTGTGAAGGCCATGGCAAAACCTTCAGTTTACGCCTCTTGATGTAATCCCCCGTGGATTTCGAGGTGTGTTTAGGATCATTATCCATTTGTAGAAGCCATCCTCTCTTTAACTTCAGCTTTTTCACAGATGGCATCAAGTTACCATCCAAAATTTGCGGAAATTTTATTGAATCCATTTTTCCTTCTACTCGTGAGATGTTCCCTGTGCTACTGGCTGCAACACAACCCCAAAGCATGATTGATCCAACCCCATGCTTAACAGTTGGACAGAGGTTCTTTTCATTAAATTCTGTGCCCCTTCTTCTCCAAACGTACCTTTGCTCATTCCGGCCAAAAAGTTAAAATTTAACCTCATCGGTCCACAGAACTTGTTTCCAAAATGCATCAGGCTTGTCTATATGTTCATTTGCAAAGTTCAAACGATGATTTTTGTGGTGAGGACGTAGAATAGGTTTTCTTCTGATGACTCTTCCATGAAGACCATATTTGTACAAGTATCTCTTTATAGTGGAATAGTGTACCACAACTGCAGTGTCTGCCAGATCTTTCTGGAGGGATCGTGCAGTCAAATGTGGGTTTTGAATTGTTTTTTTCACAATCCTGCGAGCTGTTCTGTCTGATATTTTCTTGGTCTTCCAGATCTTGCTTTAACTTCCACTGTTCCTGATGACTGCCATTTCTTAATTACATTCCGAACAGAGGATATTGACATCTGAAAACGCTTTGCTATCTTCTCATAGCCTTCTCCAGCTTTGTGAGCGTCAACTATTTTCAGTTTCAGTTTTCTAGACAACTGCTTAGAAGAACCCAAGGTGCTGATTGTTGGGGCAAGGTCAGATGAGCCTGGGCATTTAAAACCTTTGAGATTGACATCACCTGGTCTTCCCAGACGATGATTGAGAACAATCCATGACACTGGCAGGTCTCAGCTTGGTAAAGGGGGCAGTGCATGCTATAAATTCTGCAGGGGGTGCCCAAACTTTTGCAGACGCCATTTTTTTGTTTTCTGTTATTTTGAAAGTGTAAATGATGGAAATAAAATCTAACTTTTGTTGACATATTATAAGAATGTCTAATCTGTAATTTGATGCCTTTTGGAGATTCTTCCATCTTTCCTTGGCTTCTTTATGCACATTAAAACAAATTTTTAGCTGGGGTGCCCAAACGTTCGATCCCCACTGTATATGATTTATTAGCGTTGTCTTATTTCAGATGTTCTGTTAGTAATCACAGGCCGGATAGCTGCTGCACCTAACCATACACATTTTTTTTGTTCACATTTGCTAGACGGTGTTTGCTGATTATGAGTATAGACTAGGAATAATAATAATTATTATTATTATTATTGTAGTGGTAATAATAATATTTTTTTACTGTGTGTTTAACTGAACTGAGCTGCCTTGTGTCAGCGGTACACTGGAAAGCCGGAGCACTGATCTTGCATAAATGTAGTTGTCCGGGTCTCCAGTGGTTCAACTGGAATTTTTGAGGAGTTTAATTTTTGTGGAGGGGGTGAACTGGACCACCGAAGACCTGGTCCTCTGCACGCGTGCTGTATGAAAGCAGTGGTTTAGCTTTTCTAGCATGTTGCTGACACAGGGCAGCTTAGTATAGTTAGTGTTACTAAACCACAACTGTAAAAGAAATCTGTATATGTAGTAAATCGTGCTTGTTATACTCACGGTGGAACCTAAGGGGTTAATCCTCTGCTATGTGTGTAAAAAAGATTTGATCCTGTCTTCAATAATCCTCCCCTTCTTCTACTGTCCCCAATCCATCTGCTGATAGAACAGAGCCTTGGGGACAAGCTGCACAAGCTCAGTTTGGGGTATATTGCTAGAGAGTTGTTTTTCTCTTTCTTGGGAGAGTGCTAAGAATAAGTGATAAGCACAGGACCAATCAGCACTGTTCAGACAGAAGGTCAGAAGTCCTGCAGCCTCATAGGGGAGAATGAAACTCTTTCTTCCTAAAGGTTTTAACCAACGCTCTGCTGGACACTGATGGAAGCCACAAAACTGCTCTAACTGCTGATGAGAAAAGGTATTTAGCAGTTTTATATTTACTAAAATAATTGCATCTCCATCTTCTGTGTACTGGGGGAGACCAGAAATAGTGTTGGTGTCTTCTTACTCAATATTCTTCCTTCACAAGTGATAAATTTCTCTTCTTCCACTTAATACCCTCAAAAAAATTAAATTGCATATAGTGCATTATCCACAACACATGATATCTTACACAAAAAAAACACTTACAAAAATAGCGCTAATAAGTGCAAAAAACACTCCACCGTGCGTCCACTACTAAACATCTGTTATCCTTACCCTCTCCAAAACTTGAAAAACAAATTCCACCTTCCTCCATAATTAGACCTCCCAGGTCCGTCCACCTTCACATAGGGAATGTACCTCCGAAAAGATTATATATGATGTAATATCCTTTTAAACAATACACATTCTCTCATGCTCCCCTCACCTCATAAATCCTCCGTGTTAATGAGCACACTATCCACCACCTTATACACCATGCACCTTACCAGATGGTTTAAATCCACTCACATAGATAGAAAAAAGGCTCCTCTCACTCCACAAAGTATACGATTCCCAATGGCATCATAACATATGGCAGAACACATCAAAATAGTATAGTAGGCAATGATAGGAATATAACTCTTTAATAGTTAAATTGCGCTTACAAATAAAAAGTGTGTCTCCGCATGTATTCAATTCAGTGGAAGAAGAGGAATTTATCAGTTGTGAAGGAAGAATATTGAATAAGAAGATACCAACACTATTGGGTTCAGGACACTATGACGCTGATTAGGAACTGGACTGTGTGATTTGGACTTTCGGGGGAAACAGTATATTTTGGCGTCTGGGGTTTATTGTGTTAGCACTAAGTATCAGACCAAAAAAAATATGTTTAGTAACACTTTAAGCACAAATCTATTTTAAAAAATGACATATTTTTGTTGTTCATACTTACATTTTAAAAAATAATCATCACTGGCAGGTGCATTATATCTCTCCTGACAGTTTTCTCTAACAAAATGCCCTGTGGAAGCTTCAGGAGATGAGGAATAGAACTTCAGAACAACTTAGATCATCTCTCACTTTCCATCTCTGTGTCTCTGCCTTCCAGCCGTACTTGTGATTATGTCAAGTACAGAATAAGGATCCTTAGTATAAAGGCCTACTTTTTGTTTTACAATGACTATTTTGTATGTAATGTTCGCATTCTGATTTTTGTAAATTTTTTTTTTTGTGTAGTCATATAATCTATTTTGTCTTTCAGTACCATCCCCTGGTCAACTGCAGCAGAGGGTCCACAGTGTGGGGAATTTCCCAGTATCAGTGAGGCCACCTCTGAAAGCCACAGCCTACGTCAGCCCGACCATACAAGGCAGCAGCAGCATTCCACAGTCAACTAGTTTACAGTCTTTATCAAGTTCTGGGATCCCTATGCCAAACAAATCTGCAAGTTCATTGCCTGTCAGAAGTGCACTGCCTAGGCCAGCGCTGTCGAGCACAGGGGCAAGCAGTATACCCCGCAGCAAGATTGCTACACCACCACGCAGGTAATTAAGTAGAATATACATGTTCAATTAAAAAAAAACCCCATTGAAGTTCAGGTATGCATAATTTTGCATAGCAACATTTGTTCCAGCTTGTACCAGTGTAAATATTCATGTCTCATACCTGGCAGATCCCCATGTAAGCTGGAAATAGCTGTAGAAGGCACTGCTACTACAGTGATTGCCACTAGAAGGTGGAGTTAGATTTTAACAGTTAAAGATAATTTGTGGTCTTTATGCTGTCACATGTGCTCAGGGTGAACCGTCTCTCTTCTGTGAAAAGCAAGGGGCGCCAGTGGCAGACCTGCCAATTCTGGTGTTCAATGGCAAAGCAGCTCTATGGTGCCGGGCAGTGAGCACAGGGCACACTAGAGGACATCGAGCCCTCAGGCCACCCTCATGAAGTCTGTATCTGATTGTTTGGTCAGAGACATTCACACCAGTGGCCTGCTGGAGGTAATTTTCTAGGGCTCTGGCAGTGCTCATCCTGTTCCTCCTTGCACAAAGGAGCAGATACCAGTCCTGCTGATGGGTTCAGAACCTTCTACGACCCTGTCCAGCTGTCCTAAAATAACTGTCTGTCTCCTGGAATCTCCTCCATGCTCTTGAGATTGTGCTGGGAGGCACAGCAAACCTTCTGGCAATGACACGTATTGATGTGCCATCCTGGAGGAGTTGGACTGCCTGTGCCACCTCTGTAGGGTCCAGGTATCGCCTCATGCTACCAATAGTGACACTGACCCTAGCCAAATGCAAAACTAGTGCAAAACTGTCAGAAAAGACGAGTAGGGAAAAAATGTCAGTGGCCTCCACCTGTAATACCATTCCTGTTTTGGGGGTCATCTCATTGCTGCCCATGTAGTGCACCCGTTGTTAATTCATTAACACCAAAGCAGCTGAAACTGATTAACAACCCCCTCTGCTACTTAACTGACCAGATCAATACCCCAGGAGTTTAATTGACTTGATGCTATACTGTAATTAAAAAGTGTTCCTTTAATATATACTGTACATACTGTATGTATTTTGCAATGTAAGAGATTGTGCTTTACTCTTCCTCCCTCCCTTTACCTTTCTTGATGCAGGTCTATTAATCTGCTCAAACTGAGTGTATAAAAACACCCCCTTTTGTTACATGTCAGTACCATAAAAGTACAGACTGCAGCTGTACCTTTACCTGACCCCTTTAGTTCTAGTGGTGTCCCTAATCCCAAGCTGCTATTTTGACATTTCTTAAAGGATGTCCACTTTTGCCTGTACTGTTGATTTCAGCAGTAGTGAATGAAGGTCCAGCAGCATCTCACCTTTCCAGGAGTCTTGATTTCCTGGTCCCCTGCTTTGCCTAATGGTTTAATCCGCTGGTCCCTTCAGTCTACTGTATCTGGTAGTGATTATAGGGGAAACCACTCCCTCCCTCCTCCTCCTACCTATCTTGCCTACCCTGTGTAAAAAAAAAAAAAATCTGTATACTTGCCTTTCTTTAGTCCAGTTTAGTCCTGTTCAGTACCTTTTTTATAATAATGACAAGGGTGATTGAACAGTTAATCAGGAAGACTTACCTAACTGACTGAAATACATGTTTAATGCTAGAGAGAGAACCTACTGATCTACTACTCAAATAGCATCATGATAATCTAGAACTAGGTGGAGGTACAGTCATGGCCAAAATTATTGGCACCCTGCATTTCTCACAGTGCACCATTTGCCCAGAAAATTATTGCTATTACAAATGTTTCAGTATTTGGTGCTCATGTTTATTTCTTTTGTTTGTATTGGTATGACACAAAAAAATGGAGAAACAAAAAGCCAATTCTGACAAATTCCATGCAAAACCCCAAAAATGGACTGGACAAAATTGACACCCTCCATTTAATATTTGGTAGCACACACCTTGGAAAGAATAACTGAAATCAACTACTTCAAGTAACCATCAATGAGTTTTACACCTCTCTACTGGAATTTTGGACAACTCTTCTTTTGCCAAATGCTCCAGGTCATTCAGATTGGAAGGCTTCCTTTTCTCAACTGTTGTTTTGAGATCTCTCCACAGGTGCTCTATGGGATTGAGATCTGGACTCATTGCTGGCCAGTTCAGTACTCTCCACACTTTGTCTGAAACCATTTCTGGGTGCTTTTTGATGTGTGCTTTGGGTCATTGTCCTGCTGTAAGACCCATGATCTCCGACAGAGACCCAACGTTCTGACACTGGGCCCTACATTGTACCCCAGAATTCTTTGGTAGTCTTCAGATTTCATAATTCCGTGCACATGGTCAAGATATTCAGTGCCTGAAGCAGCTCCAAAACCTCAGTGAACCTCCACTATGTTTGACTGTAGGGACTGTATTCTTTTTTTTTTTTTTTTTTTTTTGTTTTTAAAGGCCTCATTTCTTCTACTGAACACCGTAAAATGATGGGCTTTACCAAAATGTTGTGATTTTGTGTTATCTGTCCACAGCACATACTTCCAAAAGGATTTTGGCTTTTTCAGGTAAATTTTGGAAAACTCCACTCTGGCTTTTTTATGTTTCTGTGTCAGCAGTGGGGTCTTCCTGGGTCTCCTACCTTAGTGTCCCTTTCATTCAGATTGCAGCGTATAGTGCGAGCTGACACAGTTGTACCCTGTGCCTGAAGGTCAGCTTGAATTTGTCTGGAAGTTGATCGAGGTTCTTTATCCACCATTCCAACAATCCTTCGTTGCAGTCTTTGATCAGTTTCTCTCTCTTGTCCACGTCCAGGGAGATTAGCTACAGTACCATAGGCTGTAAACTTCTTGACAATGTTGCTCATAGTGGACCAAGGAACATTAATTGATACAGGTGAGTTTAATTACAAATTACAGGAGCATCACAAACTTGGAATGCAATTATTTCTTACAATTTTGAGAAGGTGCCAGTAATTTTGTCCGTCCATTTTTGGGGTTTTGCGTGGAATGTGTCAGATTTGGTTTTTTTCCCTCAATTTTTTTTGTGTCATATCAATACAAACTAAAGAAATAAACATGAGAATGCCGAAACATTTGTAATTGCAACAATGTTCTGGACGAAGTGGTTATTTGACTGAAATGCTGGGGTGCCAATATTTTTGCCCATGACTGTAAATGCTAATGCAATGAGTTACATTGTGTAGTGGCTAAAATGTAGTGCCTTTTTACAGTTTTTGAGTCCTAATTATTGTTTTCCATTCCGTTTAGTTTTATTCAGCCTCCGAAGACTCTATCATCACTGAGCACACTGCGAGATGGAAACTGGAGAGATGGATGTTACTGATCTGTTCGAATGATGAGCTTACACTTAAAAGCAATTTTAATTGTGTTTATTTTTTTTTTTTTTTCCCCAGCGGGCTGGGTAAAAATAGTGTAAGACGACACATCTCCTGGAGATTTTAACATTTGTAACATATGTGTTATGTGAGAGAACTGTCAAAGACAATGTAGCTCTTTAATGTTTGACGTGAAATGCTAAATGGATTTTCACAACAATAACTGTATTATTTAATAACACACTGTACAACCGACAGACATATGCAACAGCAAATACTTATGTAAGAATCTGTTACAAAAACCTTTTTTTAATTTATTATTCACTCTGTTATCCTGTAAAAGCACTTAACTTTTTTTTTAATGTATGATAAGCATTACAATACTGGACAATATGTAAAGTTTCTGTGTATAGAATGATTAACCACACTTGGAGATGCTGCTTCACTTTTGTTCCACACAAAATTATTTTAAGTGCATTTTTCAAAAATGATTTGGTACACTTCATTTGGGAATCACTGGAAACGTACTTAAAATGTATTTCTTGTTGCAAAACACAAATAAGTACAAATAAGGTACAAATAAGGAGAATCACTGTCTTGTTCTATATAGCCACCTTAAGGTTGAATTAAAGGCATATTTTTCATTTTGGAAAGGAGGGGACAGTTATAGCCCCATCAGGTTTTATTTTTTGCTATCTGTGTCCCACTGGGGAGATTTTCCCTTCATTTTCTGCCCCATGGCCACTACAGGAGGAGATTTCTGGTTGTCATCAGGGTTTCTCAATTTTCCTCTCTATTCTTGTTTGGTGACAAACCAAAATTTGGGATTTTCCTTTTACTTTTCACTCTTGGTAATAATGATAAACAGCAATTAAAACCTGACAGGTGTTCTAATTCCTCTCCACTCTATCCAAAACGAAAAAAAAAGCTTTTGCCTTTAGTTATACTTTAATTTTGTCTTTTTCATGTTTTATGTTAATTTATTGTTTAATTATTGAATGTTTTTTCTTCTAAATAATTATGGATTTACTGCATCTCTACTGCAGTGTGGGCTGGGTTTTTTTTCTTACTGTCAAAATACTGAATTTCAAAGCTCTCAATGGACATAAAACTTTTGATAGGCATTTTACAGAATTAAATTGCACTAATGCTTTTAATAAGACGGTATATGATTTCATAACAATGACATCTGTATACTGCTGTTTTGGAATGTTTCAGTAATAAAGAATATTTTTCAGCAGCGTTATTTTATTATTTTTTTTCCCACAAGCTTAGCCACAACTCTTATGGCAGGCTCATATGTGCAGAATCAGCATGTGGGGGTTTTTGATTTCCGTGAATATTCTCTTGGTCCAGCTTGATAAAGGTGTGATGCCCAAACTGTTTCATATTACCAGTAAATTTTACTTTTTTTGTGTGTGTTTCTCGTTTTTTAAAATGTATTTTAATACCAACACCTTCACTGCTGGGAAAAATAATAGTTAATAATACATTTTTATATATATATATATATATATACTGTTGTCACCTTCTCACCAAGCTGCTTGGCGATTAGTTTGGTAGCCCAGTCCAGCCTTGTGTAGGTCTACAATCTTGTCCCTGACATCCTTGGACAGCTCTGTGGTCTTTGCCATGGTGGACAGTTTGGAATCTGATTGTTTGCTTGTTCCTGTGGACAGGTGTCTTTTATACAGGTAACAATATGAGATTAGCAGCACTCCCTTTAAGAGACTGCTTCTAATCTCAGCTTGTTACCTGTATGAAAAACACCTGGTAGCCAGAAATCCTGCTGAATGATAGGGATCAAAATACTATGAATTTTTTGTTGCTATTCTATCTCAGTGTTACAATACACCTACCATTCGATTTTTAGACTGATCATTTCTTATTTCCTTCACTGTGATTGAGATAATATATATAAAATCTCAATTACCATGGGATATGTAGTCCTTGGGCAATGAACGTAAACGGCAGAGGAAAAGCTGCAAAGGGTTTAAGGGTATCAGAAGCTGGGAGGTGGGGCGGGGTTTAGGGTCACATGATTGGGAAAGGTCCTGATCGAAAGAGGAAATCGGGACCTTTCCGTGAGTACTGGACATGTGTGCTGGGAGCGCGCAGGGCACGCGCTCTCAGCACATATGTTCTTTTTTAATTGCACGCAAATGTGCGGCCGCTCGGCGTCTAGGCCCAGTTGTCGGGAGGCCTCACATTTGCGTTCGGCCACCATGAAGAGGTTAAAAATGACTATTTTGATTTTAGAACATCACCAGTGTAATAACACTACAAAGTGTGCTGTGACCGTAGAACTTACAATATATATATGTATTGTATTTTAGATATGTTATTTATCTGTAAAAGCCTTCCTTGTGCAGACATCCAAAAGCCCTGATATTGTTGCTGGGCACTACCATCGTGGATGTGATGTCAGCAGCTCCAGGAGACGCAGAGCTATTAACCAAGTAAAACTTAGGGACTGATATACTAAAACTGGAGAGTGCAAAATCTGGTGCAGCTCTGAATAGAAACCAATCAACTTCCAGAATTTTTGTCAAAGCTTATTTGAAGAAGCTGACGTTAGAAGCTGATTGTCTACCATGTAGAGCTGCACCAGCTTTTACACTCTCCAGTTTTAGTAAATCAACAGTATTAACTTTGGCTCTTCCCTTGACAGTTACTTCAGGTGAACTAAAAGAAACACAACTTGCTATTCTATGTTCTGCAATAAAACAAACTTGCCTGCCTATTTTACAATCTTCTATTGAATGTACACTGAGCTATTTATGCCAGTGTGTTGGGATGAATGACTCCTGTGTGTGTAATGTGTGGGAGCATTTTCATCCTTTCTGTTCAATCAAGAGGCTGAAAACCAGGAAGAAACCTAAAGAGAAGATGTCAGTGGCCAGCAAGGGATGGTTGCATCACTAGAATGGAGGCAAATATTCTTTATGAAAAGAAAAAGCACTGTGAGTAAAGCAGGCCATAGACTATGCGCTTTCTTTCCCGCAACCACTGACTGTGTTTATGGCGGAATTTCTCCCGCAAAGCTATTGTGTACTTTCAGCAGGGGGAGCCGTCCCTGCCAGGAGAACACAGTGATTATTACTAGCAACTATAGCTGCTGGCAATAATTGCTTTAACAATCACACAGGTTGGTTGTATCCAAGTCACACAACAATCAGATTGAGATTCAAACCTTCTATGGGCAGGCTGATTGTACCCAGTCAGTCCCTGCTGAACTGGCTGAGATTTAAACCAACTGTGGCCGGCTTAAGCCAGGGAGATTTGACAGTAGTATTTTGTATCCGTAGTGTAACTATGGGAGAAAAAAAACACAGAATTGGCAGCTGGAAAGAGGTGGTAGGACAAAACAGGAATACAGACCAAAAACAAATTTTTAGCAAAACAATCATGGTTTTTATTACTCTTTACTCTCTTAGCCTGGTGACAACTGCTCTCTCTGTTTCTGGTACAAGGGGCCACAGAGACAGTAAGTAATGGAAAATTCTCCTTATTAGGTAAAAAAAAAAGACAAATTGTAACTTTTCATCAGTCTATTTTGAATATGGCAAGTAGAATATTGTCACTCTACATTCAGTTGAACTGGACTGAAATGTGGAAGATGTTTCACCATTCATCAAGTTGGCTTCCACAGTTATGAGCGTATAGAAATTTCTACCGACATGGGCAGGTTAGGCACCTTAATCCAAACACCATGTCATTGGTTCAAATATGTGGATGATCTGTGGGCAAAAATTAAACCATCTGTGATACAGGCTTGTAGGAAAGATGTATATTTAGTGGATGGCATCAGATTTGTGCAGGAAAATGTGCCGAATTGCAAATGGCATTTTTTTTTAAACTGTCCTATATCAAGGAGTGAAGTGACTTTGACCAGGGGCGGACTGACCATTTGGAAACTTGGGCACTGCCCGGGGTCAGTAGGGGGCCCCATGAGATGCCCCTGGTGCTTTTTTGAGTTTGGGCAAGGACACAGGGGCCCCATGATCCCCTATTGCCCGGGGGCCCCATGAGTTGTCAGTCCGCCCCTGCCTTTGACATTAAAGGCCACATGAAACTTGCTTGTACTGATCATTTTCTACTTTTCAAATCTCGCCATGTTGAAATCTCATGAAGCTAAAACACTGGATAGTCAGAAGGTAGAAGTGGACCAGACAAAGTAATCTGGTCATGGCGTATGTGCTTGGAGTGTAGGGGAAAAACTCTCAAGGATATTTTAAACATAATTGCATCTGGTTTTCTTTTTTTAGCCTAGCAAAACACCTAGCTTATACATGTTAAAGACACAAAATCAAAGTATGAGCAACCTGAAATATGCTGCCTAGTGTAATGAGCAATTTGAAGACCTGTACACTGGGAAGACAAAACCTCTCAACAGACATGGTCCAACATTTGACTTTGAACCTTACAGTCTTTCTATCTTCCTACTCAAGCAGAGTGTACATTTTTTGAAGGACAGCTATAGCAGTAGCAAAATAGGGGTTAAATCTCAACTCCGGGCAAAAAAAAAATGTAAATATTGCATTGTACATTAATTACCTTAAAGAATATGTAAACCCAACATTTCATGTTCATATGTGCCTGCTGTACTATATACTTGTATGAAGAAGTATCCTGTTTTCTTTGTGTTGCTTCCTTTGTGTGAAATCCCTGGTGTTCCTGACAGTCCCTCTGCTTTTTCGTTTTATTAAAAACTGACCACACTAGACATGAGAGCAGTGTGGTCAGTTTTCTGGCTGTGATAGCAAGTGAGGGTTTACATACACTTTAATCCTCAGTATTGATACCAAACACCTCTTCCTAAGCCATCCTTCAGTGTAATGGATTAAAGTCATAGTTTCAAGTATGAGCCAAGCTGATTTTCTGCCCTGGGGACCAGGCATTTGTCACCACTCATTATCCTCTTGGGCACTGGTCCCCTCATCTGCCCTGTGAGTTACCCTGCCTCTGGAGCCTATGAGAAAGGAGGCCATTGCAAGTGTTGCCTCCA